CTTCCCTTCTGTGTGAACAGCTGTTTCCGAACTTGGTTGACATAGTTAAGGCTGCTTGTACGATCGATATCATGCATTAGGATCACAAATCGCTCTAAAGACTTGTCGTTAATGGACTCTGGCTTTTCCATCAGAGAACAAAACGCCTTGGCGATGCTTTCGTAGACACTCCACGTATTCCATGCTGTTTTCTTTCCCCTACCAGCAAAACACGAGATTGTATCGCTGCCGGTGAATGCGTGGGACATCGGTAATGCTATGCAGCGATCAGGACCAAGGGCTCTAGCCATTTCATGATCTGCTAGTAATCGAAAATTTCTTCAGTTCCAAAAGCAATCCACACCTCCATCACGTCAATGCGTTGAACTGAGGCCACAGCCAGCACAACAACGTCAGTATCAACAGTGCGTATGGAGAGTTTGTTGTAACCATTTGGCACAGCTTCTGTAAGATGAACGATAATTCTCGTATCGGCTTCTTCATGGGTACAAGGGGCAAGTTTTGATAATTCTATGGTATGGTTACACAATACATCAGAGTTATTCGTGCTGATTATCACCTTATCGTTTTCACGTTTCCCCCTCTTTTATCGAGTTTCGAGCTTTAAGCTGTCCGGAAAGTATTGATCCCAAATAACGTCAATTCTTTCTACGTGCCGCAACTGAGAAACAATACATGGCAAAAACACTTGCCGTGCATAGTCCAAGAATGTCTTTGCAGCTCCAGGACGCAGCATATTCATTATAGCAGAGCCATCGAAAATAGTCGCTTGCACACTGGGATGAATGGTGCTCTACTGAAAAGGTACAAGATCTTCTAAGCATGTAACAAGATCGGCCTTCTTCGTTGCTCTCATGGCGCCATTCTGTGCTTGATTCTCGTGCTCGAAAAATTCGTCAAGATTGCCATCACGCACTTGAGATGCTACATAAAGCCTAGAAGAGAAGTGAGCGATCATTCTTAAGGGATGTTAATTGTTGCTCAGTCTTGTTTTTTTCGTTTACTTGAGGTCGTCCAAAAAGAGGAAGACTGTTCTTCTTGATTGGATCAGAAACTGGTAAATTTTGATTGACTAGCCGCTTGTTGACGTACGCGCTATACTGTTCCTGTCCCAACTTTTCAATCTGAAACACACTTTCAACAATGGCTTTCTCAGCAATATTCCTGTTGTCAAGTACAAGAAGATTACAGCTATCTTCACAGAACGGATTTCCAAAATGGTCAATAGTGTTACCTAAGCTACATACATCGCGCTTAACTTAAATGCCGTCTGCGCATGTTCTGTGTCCCCGTGATGGCGTAAATCTGTAGTTTTCTACTTGTCGGTGGAATTCTCAAACTCTTTGATCGGTCTAGCCATTTGAGGACCGGACACCATCCAGCGATGAAAAGCAGCAGGATTGTCGGTGAGACCCACGGCCCCACAGTCACCCTTTACAAGAGCATTATTTTGCTCGTGAGCTTGGTTAATAGAAATAGCAGAGAAACGACGAGTTGTCTGATCTTTACAACAAACTTTCCATTAACAAACTCAGAAAATGCAGTTGGATGAATATCTCTCAATGCAACCATGTCCCTAATGTGCACGAGTTACCTTGCATAATGAATGTGGCCAAGGGCAAAGAAGCAGGGCACTATATTTGTAAGGGCATCGATGTAGAGATTGAAATCGCCTTCCCTCAAAGCCCTTACAAATATCAGGATAGCTATTTCAAACTGTAAGACCAGAAAACAGAATTTGAACTGCGGATAATCGGCAGATTTGTTAGAACACCAGTCGTTAAAGAACATGTGAGGAGCATTCTCTTCTAGGTTGCTTGAATAGGCCAAATAAGCTTTTTTTACAAAATATACAAGGAACATGCTGTTATTGATGCGCTCGCCGAGTACGTGTAACATGAGAGGCAGGTAGAAAGGACTCAGCTGTCCCCGGTGACGCGACTTTCGCCTTTCCCAATGCGGCAGTCCAGCCACTTCCGATGAGCAGTGTACACAGTGCTTTGAGCGCAGCCAACTTCATTTTCAAGATGTCCTTCCTCACAATTTTGGCAGCTCTAGCAAGGTGAGCCGCGTCACTATCGGCATACACATCACACATCTGTCTTAATGCTGTACCAATATGATCCTTAAAAACGAGAATAACTTTATTGCCCTGGCTATGAGCTTCCATTTCCGGGAAATAGCAGAGAATTTTATTCTTCAGTCTGGTGGAATGAACACGTCCTGACAAACTTGTGCCAAGTTGTTCCAATCGCTTCGTGTAAAGGCTTATTAGATCTGCCAGGTACAAAACTGGTGCTACAATATTGTCGTTCTGGACGTCTTCAATATAGCTAACAAGTTCAGCAAAAGCAATGCCATGGTTGATTAATTCCTCATCAGTATTTATATGTGTTTCCGTTTCGCGCATTCTGTTGTACAGTGAAACGAGGCACTTGCTCTGGTATTGAGCTTTCTGAGCCACCATATCTCCAGAACTCAGCTTAGCTAGCAGGGATTCGTCTTGCAATCGTTGAGGACATGTACGAACGCGAAAATCAAGTTCGAGTGTTGCTGCTTTTCGTAAAGACTCTCCTGCTTTTGCTTTCTTGTCACAAAAAAAGCAGTGAGGAACATCGGAAGACTCTTGCTCTCTATGGCGACGTACGAACCTTCGGAGGAACGTTGCTTGTCGTGTTGTCTGGAGATGTTGTCTTTCGTTTTTCTGCCCTGTGAAGTTTTGATTTGTTAAACTTGAGTCTACAGGTATCGTGCCATTTAGCTCTATTAATTTTGAAACTTTCTTCAACACCTTTACCTTCATCAATTTGAGACAAATTTATTTGCTTAGGTAAACAACCGAGTTTTTCAAATGCAATGAGACTTTCAGCAGTCGTTTTATAACCAGCTCATCTGTGCCACGCGTAGAATCGGCAGGGCAAGAGAGACTTTCAGAACTGCTGTCTTGAGATAAAATACATTTATTCCAATCGATCTCTGTCCGCTGTTTATCTGAAGTTGTTGGTTCAAAAGGATTTACAACTTTGTAGATTTTCGCAATTGCATATTCGCTAAGACTGATCACATTATGCGTTTTGTGTCCTAATATATTTAAGAAAGCATAGAGACTCTGAATGTTAAAGAATGAAATAAATTTTCAGTCAAATACAATTACATTCTTAATACCAACACGTTTTCAACGCTTGCCATAATGACTTAATTAATGTCGTTCGAAATAATATCATCATATATATTCATATTATGTGCTTATATACCCATGTATATTAAATTAATTTAACTAGCGAAATTTCGTTGGTTTTTATCAGGAAAAATCATTGCTATTCTGTCTTAGTATAGCTCTATATGCCTTTTTTGCAAAAAAATAATTAAAAAGTAGTAAAGACAATGACAATTACTTACATATATTGTAGAACTTCGTTCTTCTTTAGCATTTGGACTGTCTCATTACGTCACCGGTTAACAATATGATTGCTTTATGTTGGTCAGTATGCAACAAACTTGTTTAATTAATTAAAAATATAACATTAAAACTTGAGGAATGAAAAATCTTTAATTGAAGAGTTCATTGAGCAGCCTAAATAATTGAACTATACTATTTGTATCAGTACCCATGTCAACAAAAAAGAAAGAGTTTGGTCATAATAGGCAAATTAAATGATGCTAATATTTTCTGGCTCTAAATATGGAATAGAAAATATGTCCTACCAGATTTTTTTGTAAATGTTGAATAGAAAGCTGGTTTAATACAACGGATCTTTTGTAATAACCGCCATATTGTTCACGCGACATACACGTGATGGCCCTATAGCAAAAAATGTTTGTATTGGTATGATGTATCATTGTGCAAAGTTTCATGCTTGTATCATTAAACGCACAAGTTGCAAAAAAAATGCATATATCTGCTGGACTAACATTGTCTCGAACAAATTGATTATTTATACGAGTGTGTTCATGACGTTAAATAAGACACGTCTCGCGACTTATTTTTTCCCGTACAAAAAATGGCCCTAAAGTTCGTGTGCACCAAAAATTGATTCGATGCAATTATTTCTTAGTATAGTTACCCAAGTATAATGCTGACATAAGCATTGTTAGAAATATTGTGCTGTTTATTATCAAACTTATAGTAAATAAAACTAAATATAAATTTAAGTTAATGAGACAACGCGTTGAAAGGTATAAGCTCAAATTGAGCCGCCTGTAAAAATGTCAGTTCCTTTCCGATCAGGGCACAAAGAACATTGATTGTTCACTTGAACCATTGACACATAGGTCAAAGATTTTCTTAGCTTGCATGTCTTTCACGAGAACAGTTCATGATAACTTTTATTAATATCACAGCCACTTCGAAACCTTTTTTTTGGAAGGGACAATTAATGACTAATTTACCTCATTGCTAAAACATAAGGGACGATTAGAACTAATCATCTCACGGGACGATTAGTTACTAATCGTCCCTCATCTTTACGCATAACCTCTTATACTGTATTGATGTTCAATGAAATATTCAACAGACATAAAAAATCAACCGTAACCTCATTAACGAACATCCCAATACTCAATAGGCATTAGTATTAAAACGAACAGGTGGGAAATTTGTCTGAGCATGCGCGAGCAAAGTGAGCAACACAATTGCGTGGAATACACGCAACGCGTGTTTACAAAAAAAAGGCACAACCGTGTAAATATTGCCAAATGTTTGTACAAAATAAATTACTGTTTTATGTTGAAAATGGACGTGATCTAAATTAATCCTACAGAATTTTTTAGTGACGTTCTATTTCAGTACCCTGCCACTGTCTCTGTTGGGCTGTCCGTGTGCATTAGCCTACGGTGTAGACCCCAGCAGAAACACGTTTCGTGAGGGGTCTACGAATAAACGAAGAAAAGCTTGCCCGGCCTACGTCATATCCGTTTTACGTTTTGGGTAAATTAACTTCAATTTATTCAAATTTCTGAAGCAGTGAAGCGTGCGTAAATGTAAATTTTCATTTGGCGCTTATTAAAATGTTCATGATGGCGGGCTTTGTGCAATACAAATACTCGTGGACAGCAAGGAGACTGTACGTAAGGAGTTAGACGATCGCGCGACTTTTCCTTCTCCATTTCACCTACAAATAGCATTTGTAAAGCATGCCTGACCGCCTGGCGTTGGTAAACAAACGGTAAAACGGAGAAGCTTCAAAGAACGATTTAATATGTGAGCTAGAGCCTAGACAATGTATACGATAACGAACGTGCACGAAACAGCATTAAACGCTATTGGTATACCGCTTAAAGTACAGCGAAATGTCGTGAGGAAACTGGGATTCGAGCAGACTTGCGATAAAGCTTTTATGCCGGCTACATTTAGTGTGAAATCGACTTTGTCTTCGGCTTCAGAAATTGGATGTCTTGACAAGAACGTTTGGTTGGGTATATATATAACCATGGTATATTTTATTGCACAAAGCCCACCATGAAACATTTTAAACGCACGCTTCACTGCTTCAGAAATTCGAATAAATTGAAACTAATTTACCCAAAACGTAAAACGGATATGACGTAGACCGGGCAAGCTTCTCTTCGTTTATTCGTAGACCCCTCACGAAACGTGTTTCTGCTGGGGTCTACACCGTAGGCTAGTGTGCATTTGATCTGAAACAGTCGCTACCATGCTGTCGAAAAATTTCGAATGTTTACATGAACATAGAGGCAAGTCATGCATTTTACAACCTCGTAAACTGTATGAGCCCCTATTTTTACGCTTATATTATACCTAAGATATCAAATAAAAGTACATGAAACAGAGAACATTTTCGGAAAGTTTTATTGTGAGGCCACGGCCAGTTTTTAAAATATATTTATTTCTGTTCCGGTCATCACCAAAATTACACTAAAGCGGGCTTGAATATACAACAAATTTTGAATCTCATCAAGTACAAAAATATTTAACGTGTAAGCAAAATATGCTCACGAAATCAAAATTAATAGCTAAATTTCCAAACTAGACCCTTCTCGAAGCGGTTTTTATGAAGTAAGTTCACATTTCGGCCTTTGATTCTTGGCAAAAATTTGACAACAACACGTGCGAAGCAACTAGGTCTCAAAGACACAGCTAAAACATTGTGAGCCCCTATTTTCCAGACGATTTGTTTGATACCTACAAACATCTAACAGTTTTTTCTTTTCATTTATCTATATTTGAAATTGAGGCCACGGGCTATTTTTGAGAAAATACAGTTCAAAGTCAAGCTATTTTTACATATTTTCAAAATTTGTTAATCTTCGCGAGCTTGTATTTTGAACTTAGACAGCTGAAGTTACAATAAGAAACATAGGATGGAAAATTTGAGGCATATAAAGTTAATTTCAACTTACATTTCATTCTCATATCACGTCTTTCTTTGTTTATTACGGTTTTTACTCCCATGTTCACGTCGCCATATTAACTTCTTCCAATCACTCGATTACAAAACAAATCATCCCAAACCAAAGAACTCATAGTCGACTTTTAAAAGAATAACCGTTAATTTGTAAATCGTTGAATGGAAAGTAAAAAATCGTCGGCTAAAACAGCTTCTTGCTGA